ACTAAAAGATCACTACTTGTCCAATCTCCAGACATTAGGCATTGTCAATAAACTAAAAGAAATTTTAAACATTTAATGACATTCCATATGGTGGGCGTCTTACATGCAGGCAGTGAGGTGGTGGGCACCATGACTGTCTTCTTTACTACCTGGGGCAGAATGTGGCCCTCTTCCTCAGTTTTCCTGTGATAAAATGGACATGATAAGATATTTCCAGTGTGCTTCATGTTTGAGAGCGAGTTCAGGAGCAGCCCCTGGCAGAAATGGAATACTGAGCTCTCAAAGGTTCTAGCTGTCTTCTCTGAATGCTGTGCCCACATTCCCGGGGGGGGGGGGTCTCATGGGCATCATCCCATAGCCTCGCCTTGACCTTCACACAGTTTATTGCAGGAGCACCAGGAGGTCCATCGAGGCGGTAACTGCACAGGTCCAGCTGCCTATTGGAATAAAGGGTGGATTCTGAAATACGCTGTGAACTGTATACACAGTAGGGTGGCTGGCTGGCCAGGTTTCTTCCTCCTCCTTCCCCTTTCCCCTTCCTGTATCCTTTCTTTCCCTTTCTCCTTTCCTTTCTCCTTCCTTATTCCTTCCTTTCTCCTCTCCTTTCCTTTCCCCTCCTTCTCTTCCTCCTTTTTTTTTCTGTTTTTCATTTTCACGTGTAAATTCTTTAGATGTACCACAAGGTATGGGCCACCATCCAGGATACTTTAATGCTTACATCATTTTGCTCAAGAAATAAAATAGAATAATTACAAACGCAGGTGGAAACCCCACAAACATGTCCATCGCCTCTCCCTCCCTGCAGCAAATGCTTGCCTAGTGATTATATCTCTAATTTAAGGAGTATCACAGGAATGGTTTCTTGACGGAAGGTAGCAACAAACGGAAGGACAGCATAAGACTCCTCAGTGCATTACCCCTTTCTAATACCTTATGAGTGCTTATATGACGATGTCATAAAGCCTGCACTTCCTGCTCTGACATTTAAGGCCCTCCGTGGTTTGACCTGTCCCATACGACATGGCCTTCCAGTCTCTCCAACCAGATGTTTTACTTCTCTTTTACTTGAAGACCTTCTCCCCAGTGAACAGTCAAACTAGGCTAGTCGTTTATGGCTCATTCCATGGACATCTGCTTGTTGCCAAATTCATTAGGACCCAGGTCTAACTCTGAAGCGACCAATCCCTTTCATCTTCCTTATTACAATTACCTCAGCCTATATGCCCTCCTCCGTTTCATCCCAAAGGTCTCTCCCTCCTCAGAAACACAGCAGCTATTTTCTCACTCCTTGCTTGGCACAAATATTCCTTACTTTTTATTGTCATTTTCCTTTGGCTGACTGCATATATTCTGTTAAAGTACTAAGTTACTTATTTTCCTTTTTTTGAACATCAGGTTCAAAAAACAGGTATCTCCTTGTTTTCCACATTGACAGAGCAGAAAGCTTGAGCCCAGGAGGTGGAGGCTGCAGTGAGCCCTGTGCTCCAGCCTGGGTGACAGAGTGACACCCTGTCTCAAAAACAAAACAAAAAACTAAAGAATTGTACATTACCTTTTGTCCAGGAGATGCCTTTTATAAGACTATAATCAATGACAAAATGAATATGTCAGTAGATTAAATTTCTTAACATTAATAATTTTGCATATGAAAACATTTGGCCAAATAAAAAGGCAAACAAGCAAGCAGGAACCTATGATCTGCATTTGAGAAAGTGCATGGGCAGGGACGCATGTCTCAATAGGCGGATGCAAGTTGTAAACCATCAGTTTGAAGAGAGAATCAAACAGCTAATAAACATGTGAAACCTAAGTGCAAAAATAAGAAAATGCATATTTAAGTTAATTAATGTCTTCCTTGTTGGAGAAAACAAAAGAGCAAGCGCATCAGATCAAGATGAATGAAGTGTTGCTGGAATCAAAACTGTGCATGTGTGTGTGGTGTGCACAGGGGTGAGTGTGTGCAGAAAAAACCTCTGCACATCATCACAGTGATTCTATTTCTTTCAGGAAGCCATCCTATGAACTTGGTTAGAAAAGTTGCCCAAGATTGATTTTCAAATGCATATACAAACTCTGGGCTCTAAGCCCATCGGGGGACTGCAGACTCCCTTCCTCACCTTCAGAGCGGCACTCCATGCTGTGTGTTGGGAGGGGACCAGACTGGAGTCAAAGGTCAGGGAAAGGGGCACTGGCCTAGAGACCAGGAGTCAGCTTGGGGCACACCTGGGCCTCCTGGAGCTGTCGGCGAAGAGGGAGAGCGGGTCCTCCTGGACAAGGGCAGCGGAAAATGGGTCTCTGAGGTGCCTGCAGGGCTGAGCCACCCGAGTCCACTGATGGGGATGCAGGGAAGAGCTGGTGTCTCTCTCCCCAGAGGGAGGAGCAGACAGGAGAGAGACGGGGAGGAGGTGTGAGAACCTGACACTTTAAAATCCAAGGAGTCATGGGCAGGAACCTCCCCCAACCCACCCCCGCATACCCCACCCCCCAACCCTCACCAGGCAGGCCAAGCCTGAAGGCAAAGAGGGGACAAGTAAGGAGTCCCAGCAGGAATGAAACCCTGGCCTCCTGTCACTCAAAGCTGTTTCACAGGAGGAGGGAAGGATGGAAATAAACAAGCACCGCACCTCTTTTTATATAAGCTTTCAGGTTTATTTTGGACAAGATTCATGAACATACGAGCTCTGCATATATAACCAGGTGTTATGTGCTATCTGGCCTGGGTATAAAGCAAAACCAAAACAAACCAATTAACACTAAAAACTCCCAACAATTTCATGTTGTCAGGAAGCTTACTTTACAAAAATAAGCTTAACCAACACTGATAAGGCTGATATTCTAGATGCATCTTCAAGGAAGGCCTCTGCACAAGGGACAAGGGAGCCGGGACCAGACTGGCTCCGTCTGAGCTCTGAGGCCGAGCGTCCTGCACCGAAGGCCTAGGAAAGGCAAAGACCAGGGGGCAGCAGCACCCTGTGCCTTCCAGAAGTGCAGGGGACGAAGCGTGGGACGCCAGATGGAAGTGGGAGAGGATGGAAGTGCCAAGAGCAGAAAGGCCGCCCCCTCCCGAAGATCAAGGGACACAACACTGTCAATGTGCTGCAATCTGCAGGGAATTCTACTGTCCCAGCCAACCAGTCCCGGAGCAGGAACAAGACAACACGCAATGCCTTGAGACGGAAAGCATGGAAACTCCTAGAATGACTACAACTGTAAATTATCCTACCACGACTGGACTACTGTAGAGAAGAGTTTGCTGGAAAGAGGCTAAAATGATGACTGAGGCCTTTAGGTAAAATTGTAGAATGTGACACAAGAACAAAGCATTAATGCATCAGCCATTCTAGGTCCTGTTGTCACAGTGTTTAAGAATTGGTATTTCTGAGTTGAGTCAGATGCTTATAGAGGGGCCAAGCACCTCAAATGGGAATCTGTACCCTAAAATGCTGCTCAGGGGCTCAGGGTCACAGAGCACCAGAAGCAAGAGGGGCCATCCACTCCTGAGTCAGCAACCATTTCCCACCATTCCCAAGTACCATCCACACTTCCCCCTTGATGCCATGAAAGATGCTGGGGCAGATAAATACCCGCTCTGCTCTGAGCCCAAAGGACGCCCAAGATTCACTCATGTTCAGCTGTAAGGGCACTTGACAGAGAAGCTACTCACAGTCTCGGATCTTACTGTCCTTATCTGCTGTGGACAATAGGAAGATGCAGTCTCGTGCCTGTCCCAGCAGGACCGACCAGACACATGGCTTCCCATAGATCCCACACTCTCCAAAATCCTGGGCATATGTAAACATCTACTTATAAATAAATACATGTTTAAAAAACATTTATAAATAAATACCGCTATATACCTCTAAAATTATCAAGTAAGACAGGCTGGCCCTTTGAGAAGCTGCTGGCCATCAAACCCTGGTCCAGTCACAGGGCGTGGGATGAGATATGGAACGCAGTCACTGCCTCCCACAGAGGGAGGATTTCTCCCTCCATTGCTACTTACATTTCCAGTCGTTTTTGACTACTGGTTTGCATCCAGGCAACCCAGGTAAACAGCCTAATAAGTGTATTTCTTAGAGTTTTTTCATGCTTATGTCATTATAAAAAAATCAGAAAATGAAAGATGTACATGATATAAACACTAAGCAATAGAAATGTTTCTCTACTTCAGGAAGATAAGCCCCAATAATCCTATCTTAAAGCTCAAAACTCTAAGTCAAACCCTCTTAAGTCCATATGCTCATGACTTAGCATGGGGCTTTGTCTTGATAATCTCATCATTAAGTCAAAAATATCCTAAACTGAAAATGCAGGTAATAGCCAGATCATCCAGTTCTAAAGTTAAAAAATTGTAAGGCAAACCATCGTGGCTGTGCAGCATCTGTAGCTAGATGTAATTAATGCACACACCAGCAGGGATGGAGCTTACAATATAAGAAATAGGAAAAAAGACTTGTCTCAGGATGAAGAACTGAAAGTAATGACATCCTAAAACCACTTTTTTCTTTTGAGACAGAGTTTCACCATGTTGCCCAGGCTAGTCTCAAACTCCTGAGCTCAAGTAATTCACCTGCCTCAGCCTCCCAAAGTGATAGGATTATAGGTGTGAGCCAATGCACCTGGCCTAAAACTGCCCTTAATACACAATCATATAACTCTGTGCCCCAAAGAATCTTATATAAATGTCTGCAGTTTGCTTATCACACACAATATTTTATAAAAATTACTGGCCAGGCGCGGTGGCTCAAGCCTGTAATCCCAGCACTTTGGGAGGCCAAGGCGGGTGGATCACGAGGTCAAGAGATCGAGACCATCCTGGTCAACATGGTGAAACCCCATCTCTACTAAAAATTCAAAAAATTAGCTGGGCATGGTGGCACGTGCCTGTAATCCCAGCTACTCAGGAGGCTGAGGCAGGAGAATTGCCTGAACCCAGGAGGCGGAGGTTGCGGTGAGCCGAGATCGCGCCATTGCACTCCAGCCTGGGTAACAAGAGTGAAACTCTGTCTCAAAAAAAAAAAAAAATTACTACAAGTGCATTGACAAAGTGGTAAGACCTCAGGTAAGCTGCACCATATTAGACAGTAGAGTTTGCTGAGGCATGGGTCAAGCACTCGACTGTCTCTTCCAGGCTTCTTCCCTTTTTAAGAGAAAAGGTAAACCAGAGAAGCTCTGGTTTCCTGAAGAGATTCTTTCACAGGCAGAACGTAGCAGAGCCTGCGTCACCTTCTTCATCAAGAAGTTTTTTGGCGCGCACCAGTTAGTCCTGAATTATTTCCTTTGCACGTCCTTCTTCCGGTGTCACCAAGGCATCCAGCAAGACGTTGACTAAGAAGAGAGGAGAAGAGATTGAGGGTCTTGATGCTCCAGGGACAATCAGCCCAGGATCAACAGGACAGGATCTTCCTGTCCTGTTCTTGTGAAAGTGAATATCAACGTGGGACCCCGCACTTTCAGCACTGAATGCTCCAGAAGAGGCCTCTCAGCTATGGGGACAGCAGGTAGGACACTGTCCCTATTTCCTGCCCTCCTGTTGCACCTCCAGGCACAAAATACTTACTCTCAGTAGGGTCAGCATCATTCACTGGAACCTGCAGACTCCTCCTCTGACACCCTTCGGCTTCTGCCTGTCCCTGTAACACACAGTGGGGAAGGCTGTGATCAGTCAGGAGTCCTGCAGTCCAGTACTGACCCCGACCCCCAGCCAGCCCTGACACCTGCAGCACCTCCCCTCGCGGGTCTCCATGGAGATGGAGATAACCCTCTAGTTCTGCATAGCTCTCAGGTTCTATGTGACAGTGGCTCGTTGAGACATAAATGACATGCAGTAAATGCTCACTGTGTAAGTGTTCTCCCTAGCTCTGACTACTGTATACACTGGTATAATCATCCCCCGATCAAGACACAGAACATTCCCACCACCCCAAAACTCCCCTTCTGCCCCATCTAAATAATTCCCACCCACCTTCACAGGAGATGATCACTTCCTTACAGAATTTTTACCAGCAGAAGTCTCGGCAGAAGACTGTATATGAGGGTACCCAGGAAAACCTAATAAGATGATTTATTCCAAGACTGTAAATGATCTTGGATCATTAATACTGTACCATATCAATAGGGTAATTAAATAAAACAGTCTCTATGGAGGCTGGAAAGACGTTTGGTAAAAAACACCAATTCTGATTTTTTCCTAAACCTTTTAGAATAGGAGGCTGTATTCCTGTTGAGGAGGATTTCTATATGAAACCAAAAGTGAACACCATTCCTAAGGGTGACACTTTGGGGGCCTTCCCCAGAAATCAAATCAAGACCCGAACACCTGCCTCCCTAAGCACGGCTGAACATTGTTCTGAAAGGTCTGGTTAGGCAACAAGATGGGAAGCAAAAATGAGGCAAGACTCTTGGAAGGGGGCAGACACAATAATCATTATTTTCAATGTCATTTAAAATCGCTAAGAATGAAACTACAATATCAAAATATAAAAAAACATAGCAGATGCAACAAGTTTCTAATAGAATGACAGGGCTGTCCAACGCATAATAGATACAAAAAATCTCAACAGCCATGAGAAGAAACAGGAATAACTTATTTGAAGAGGAACATGAATCCCAAACCAGTTACAGCAAAATGCTTGACTACCAATTCTATCTTCTTTAATAAGGAAATACAGAACATTTATAAGTTATTATTATTATTTTTTTTGAGATGGAGTCTCACTCTGTTGCCCAGGCTGGAGTGCAGTGGCACGATCGCAGCTCACCGTAACCTCCGTCTCCTAGGCTCATGAGATTCTCCTCTGTCAACCTCCAAAGTAGCTGGGCCTACAGTCATGTGCCACCATGCCCATCTAATTTCTTGTATTTTTAGTAGAGATGGGGTTTCACCCAGTTAGCCAGGATGGCCTTGATCTCCTGACCTCATGATCCACCCGCCTGGGTATCCCAAAGTGCTGTGATTAAAGGCATGAGCCACTGCGCCTGGCATCTAGATTAATTTTTAATCTGAAAGTGAATTGAAAAAATGTGGGAAGTAATTGAATCACACAGAAGAGTTCTTCATGTCCTGTTCTTGTGAAAGTGAATATGACTCACAAGGTCTGATAGTGTTATACAGAGCAGTTCCCTTGCACATGCTCTCTTGCCTGCCGCCATCTAAGATGTGCTTTTGCTCATCGTTCATCTTTCAATTGTGAGGCTTCCCAGCCATGTAAAACTGAGTCCATTAAACCTCTTTTTCTTTATAAATTACCCAGTCTTGGGTATTTCTTCATAGCAGTATGAAAATGGACTAGTACAACTCCCTATTCAACAGATAATGCTGGGATATTTGTCTAGCCATATGCAGAAGAATGAAAACTACACTCCTACTTTTCATCATATACACAAATTAACTCAAGGTGGATTAAAGGTTTAAAAGTAAGACCACGAACTATAAGAATCCTAGCAGAAAAGATAGAACACACTCTTCTGGACATCAGCCATGGCAAAGAATTTATGATTAAGTCTTCAAAAGCAATGCATCAAAACCAAAAATTGTCAAGTGAGATGTAATTAAACTAAAGACCTTCTGCACAGCAAAAGAAACTATCACCAAAAATCAACTATCAACAGGCTGGGCATGGTGGCTCACACCTATAATGCCAGCACTTTGGGAGGCCGAGGCAGGCAAACCACCTGAGGTCAGGAGTTCGAGACCAGCATGGCCAACATAATGAAACCCCATCTCACTAAAATTATAAAAATTAGCCGGGCATGGTGGTGCATGCCTGCAATCCTAATTTCCACGGAGGCTGAGGCAGGAGAACCACTTGAACCTGGGAGGTAGAAGTTGCAGTGAGCCTAGATCATGCTACTACACCCCAGCCTGGGTTACAAGGAAGACCCTGTATCAAAAAATAAAAATGAAAAAAAAAAAAAAAAAAACAAACAAACAAAAAACAAAGAGTCAGGCATGGTGGCTTGCAATTGTAATCCCAACAGTTTGGGAGGCCAAGGTGGGCAGATCACAAGGTCAAGGGATCGAGATCATCCTGGCCAACACAGTGAAACTTCATCTCTACTGAAAATATAAAACTTAGCTGGACGTGGTGGCGTGCATGTAGTCCTATCTACTTGGGAGGCTGAGGCAGGAGAATCACTTGAACTCAGGAAGCAGTAGTTTCAGTAAGCCAAGATTATGCCACTGCACTTCAGCTTGGTGACAGAGAGAGACTCCATCTCCAAAAAGAAAGAAAAAAGAAAGAGAGAGCGAGCGAGCACGAGAGAGAGAGAGAGAGAGAGAGAGAGAGAGAGAGAGAGCAAGCAAGAAGAAAATATCAATAGAGTAAACAGACAACCTACAGAATGGGAGAAAGTATTTGCAAATGATGCATCTGACAAGGGCCTAATATTCATGAATTACATGCAACTTAATTAAACACACAAAAAGCAACCCAATTAAAAATGGGCAAAAGACATAATTTGTATGTCTTTAAAAGAAGCCATACAAGTTGCCAACAGACATGAAAAGATGCTCATCATCATGAATTATCAGAGAAATGCAAATCAAAACTACCATGAGATACCATCTCACATAGTCAGGATGGCGATTATTAAAAAGCCAGTAACAACAAATGTTGGCGAGGCTATGAAGAAAAAGGAACATTTTTATACTTCTGGTGGGAATGTAAATTAGTTTAGCCACTGTGGAAAGGAGTTTGGAGATTTTTCAAAGAATTTTAAAGCAACTACTATTTAACCCCGCAAACCCACCATATATTACAGAACACAAAACAAATCATTCTACCAAAGACGACACTATCTGTCATAGCAATGACATGGATTCAACCTAGGTTCCCATCAGCAGTGTACTGGATAAAGAAAATGTGGTATATATACACCATGGAATACTACACAGCCATAAAAAGGAATAAAATCCTGTTGTTTGCAGCCAAATGGATGGAGCTGGAGGTCATCATCCCAAGCGAATTAATATGGGAATGCAAAACCAAATACTGCATGTTGTCACTTATAAGAGGGAGCAGAACATCAGGTACTCATGAACATAAAGATGGCAATAACAGACACTGGACACTACTAGTACTATGCCCACTACCTGGGCCAGGAGAGCAGGGGCACTGCCCTCTCCCACTGCCTACAAAGTCTTGTGCAGGCAGCAGGCCAGGCATGGTACAGTCCATCCTCAACTCACCAGCAGATGCTGTGGCTCCTCTGGCGACTGCATAGTCACACCTGCTGATTCTCTCAGCTCCTGACCTTCGATTTCCTGCTCAGGGACGTGGGTGGGCTGTGAGTCTCTATTACTCAGGGTCTCATTGTAGGCACTGTCCTTAGCCCCAGGACCTCGTGAGGGACATAAACGCCAGAAAAAGACCTTGGGAAGGCAAACCACCCACATAAGTTCACACCTAGGGTTCAGGTTCAGGGTCCCCAGTCCACAGCTAGACCTGCCATCCCCAACCCCTTCCAATGAGGTCACCCAAGGCAGCTGTGACTCAGCACATTCAGGACCTACTGCTGAGGCAGGGCAAGTGGTCACCCCATCCCCAGGGTGCAGGCTGTGGGTGAGGGTGCCACCCAGTCTGCAGGAAGGACAGGGCTGCAGCATGACCCACCGGTCTTTGTGGATCTCAGAATAACCATGTGTCCCCCACAGTCAGCCCAGAACCCCCAGGCCATGTCAGAGAGTCAGGGCCAACATGAGGACAAGGGATTGTGCCCACCCGGGCTCTGCAGTGGAGGGGAAGCTGTTCCTGAACCCCTGATCCCCCAGTTTCTAGAGAAACCAACTTACTCTGTGAACACTTTCAGAGTCCCCTCCACCACCTGGAAGAGAAGGAGTCTCCTTAGCATGCAGGCAGGGGCCATGCAGTACCTCCCTCCCAGAGGACAGTAGGGGGCAGGGGCAGGCTGGGGGCTGGACACTGGACAAGGAGCCCTGGGCCTAGGGCAGAAATAGGACCTTGCAATTCAGGGACACCCTGAGGTAGTGGAATAGAAGGGGAATTAGCATAAAAACAAACGTGGAAAATCTGTTTTCTGCTCTGATGAAGGCTGAATAAATTCCCTGACCACTTCTCATCCTGACCCTTGTCACCTAGTTGAGAAGCTGACTGCCCCCTGCCTGGCTGGGCCTGAACATGGGAAGAACTGGCCCTGCCCTCCTGGACTTGGCTGGGAGATGAGGGGACCCCCAACCCTGGGAGAGAACTGATGAGACCAGGGTCCTGGGGGGTGTAAAGAATGTGGGGATGAGGTGATCACAAGGAGGAAGATGGAACCAGGCTGGAGACACTTAGACTAGGGGCAGGGAAAGGCATTCCTGTCTGTGGGAACAGGGTGGGAGAGGGCAGGGCAGAGAGTGCCCAGTGCCCCGCCCTCAGCCAGCACCTACCTGAGCAGATGAGTTTCGGGAAAGAAGTGAGTTTCTTCCAAAATAAAATGTAAACAAATGCAACCACAGACACAAACGATATGACCCCTATGACAATCTGTAGGATGTAAAACACAGAGGCAGGAGTCCCTGGGCTGGAGGTCACTGTCTCCTCCGCAGCTGGGGGTTTCCCAGTGGAACTGGCAGCTGATTCATCAACGCACTTGATGTCACTCCAGCATGTACAATCCCTGACCTTGACCATCCCTCTGGGGCACCTGGGTACACACAGGGAGGGAGAGGCGACTTTTGAGGGGAAGCTGGCCAGGTGGGATGAAAGAGGAGTCACCCTCCCTGCCCAATATCCCTGAGAAGGCATCAGGGGAAGGACAGGGGAAGGACAGGCTCCTCACATCTGCAGGGCCCGCTCTGTGCTCCCTGGTTGAGGCTGGGGAAGAGTCTGAGCATGCGCACTTCAGCCCCTCGGCCTCCCTGCTGGGGTCAGAGCTGCAGCTCCAGGAGCCTTCTGTGCTGGGCACACACTGAGCTTCCCTGGGCTGCAGGGGAGGCCTGCGTTAGGAGGAGCCACACTCCAGGGGAAAATCACAAGCCCATGTGCCCACCAGCTGAACCCCATCCTCCAGTTAACCCACAATACAAGTGAGCCCTCACCCCTCCCTGTCTGCTGGTTCCTCCCAGTCACAGCAAACACTGGAGGGCCAGAGAAGAGCAAATCACTCTTAGCCCTTAAAACCCGAACGGGAGGCCGGGCACGGTGGCTCAAGCCTGTAATCCCAGCACTTTGGGAGGCCGAGGCGGGTGGATCATGAGGTCAAGAGATCGAGACCATCCTGGTCAACATAGTGAAACCCTGTCTCTACTAAAAATACAAAAAATTAGCTGGGCATGGTGGCGCGTGCCTGTAATCCCAGCTACTCAGGAGACTGAGGCAGGAGAATTGCCTGAACCCAGGAGGCGGAGGTTGTGGTGAGCCGAGATCGCGCCATTGCACTCCAGCCTGGGTAACAAGAGTGAAATTCTGTCAAAAAAAAAAAAAAAAAAAAAAAACCGAACAGGAAAAAGAAGGACTTACTGACAAATCAGGGGCCAGGGGCAAGACCGGCTGGGTGGGTTCAGCTCCTCATGGGAACTTAAGAGAGCTCCACCCATGGCCTTACTATGACTTTCGTGGGCTGGGGACACTTTTGTCTTTATGGGTCCCTGTCTGCATAGAAAATGCTAAAAATTACATTCTTTTAAACCAACTTGGAATAAGGACAAATACAAACCAGGCTGGATTTAAGTGTCTTCTTCTGATTTCAAAGGGAAATCACATTTCCTAGGTCCCCTGAAAAGTATCAAGGGACCTAGAAATTTGCCTCTTGTGCCCAGTGAACAATCCGGCCTGGGCAAAGGGACTTGTGCTGGGGAGGAGTGGGAAGGGGCTGCTGTAGGGGGCAGCGGTGGGGACAGGCACATGGACCAGGAGGGGCCACCACAGGCTCAGGAGACCCCACAAGCTCAGGGATGCCTCATGGGGCTGGAGGCTCCATGGTGTCAGGGGAGAGAAAGGGGTACCAAGTCACTTGGGTCTTCTCGGGTTCCTGAAAGCTATCGGGGCCCCTTGGCTACTGTCTCACCCGGTGTGGCACTTCCGGCACATCTCAGTGGAATTGTCATTCCGGAAAGTTCCTGGCTTGCACCGACACTCTGTGTCTCTGGTTGTGGTGCAGGGACTTAGCTCTTCTTCATCTGATGACAGAGCACAAGGTTTTGGCAACGAGTTTCCCTGACATGTCCCTTGACCCTTCCTCACCATCCTAACCCCCTCCCACTCTGCTCAACTCAGCTTGCCAAGGAGTTCTGAGGGCCGGTTCTGCACCAGCACACTCGGGGCTCATACAGGACAACCCACCCTTCAGCTGTCACCAGTACTCAGGGTCATGCAAAAGGAACAAGATTCATTAATTATTACATCAGATTAGGGGAAACACATCGTTTAAATTACATGGTCAGTAGCAAGGGAAGCACAGGGGCATCACCTGAGGGACTTTGCAAGGAGAGGAGCCCTTGGGTGAGTTCCCCAAAGCCTGCCCTTGCTGGGGAAGAGGGAGGGGCCTGAGAACCTGAAGGCTGAGTGAGGCCCAGCACCTGCCAGGAGCCCAGAGTCCGGGGAGAGAGCCTGGCCCCGGAGAAGATCCATGCCAACACTGACACCCAGTCCTGTCCACTCGGCGAGGACTTTTCTGTGCTGTAATCATGACCCCACCCCCTTGCAGCCAGTAGTTTAGATTTCCCAGCCAAGTAGCATGTATTATAAAAAAAGATTTCTTTTTTTCTTTTAGTCAACCAAAGTCATAATCATGGAACAGGGTATGATGAACACCAAGCTGGACTGGAACTTGGTTCTCTGACTCACATCGGCTACAACTCCCACCTCATCACTCCGCACACCACCTCTGGGCAAGGGGTCCACACATTCTGTACCTGATTTACAAATTGTACATGGGAGGCAAGAAGGCAAATTGTTGGAGACATTGGTATAATCCACACCCTCTGTGCACCCGATACAGGATCCAGTATATTCTGATCTATGAGATCCTGGGAAGGGAGAGAAAAGCCAATGAATGAGTTGCCACAGAATTCCCAGAGGCTGACAGTGGCTGGGAAACTCCTCTTCTTGCCCTCCGTGGAATCCAGACAAGGAAATCCACTCCTCCAGGCTTGGTCTTCTCATTAATTCTGCATCTATTACATACCTTTGACTGGCATTGCTGAAAGAAATAATACAAACCACATACGAAATTCAAATTCCATGAGAACCATATTAAAATAGTAAAAAGAATGAGGTCAAGTTAATTTTAACAATCTATTCTGAACCTAAAATATCCAAAACACTACCCTTCAATATGTAATCAATATAAATCTTTGAAGTATTTTACTTTTTTTTTTTTTTTTTTTTTGAGACGGAGTTTCACTCTTGTTACCCAGGCTGGAGTGCAATGGCGCGATCTCGGCTCACCGCAACCTCCGCCTCCTGGGTTCAGGCAATTCTCCTGCCTCAGCCTCCTGAGTAGCTGGGATTACAGGCACGCGCCACCACGCCCAGCTAATTTTTTTTGTATTTTTAGTAGAGACGGGGTTTCACCATGTTGACCAGGATGGTCTCGATCTCTTGACCTCGTGATCCACCCGCCTTGGCCTCCCAAAGTGCTGGGATTACAGGCTTGAGCCACCGCGCCCGGCTTGTATTTTACTTTTTTTTAAGACAAAGTTTGATTTTTGTTGCTGAGACTGGAGTGCAGTGGCACAATTTCAGCTCACTGCAATCTCTGCCTCTCAGGTTCAAGCAATTTTTCTGCCTCAGCCTCCCGAGTAGCTGAGATTACAGGCACCCACCACTACACCTGGCTACCTTTTTGTATTGTTACTAGAGACAGTGTTTCATCATACTGGCCAGGCTGGTCTCGAACTCCTGACCTCAGGTGAGCCACAAACCTTGGCTTCCCAAAGTGCTGGAATTACAGGCATGAGCCACCGTGCCACCCCCAGTATACTTTTTTTTAAATAAAATAAAATAAAATCCAACCTCTTCTACATGTGATCTGCCCATGCTGCCCACCTGACCTGTCTGCAGTCCACTCACTATAGTGGCCCTGTCTTTGCTCAGTTTCCCCCCGCCCCTGCACCCTGGGCCTCATTCCTGGGGAGGCTGCTCAGGAGCACTGTTTCCGGCTCTCTGTAAAGCTAGCCCTGTCCAACTTTGGATATTGACCAACATCATCATCCCTGAGAGGCCCCACCAACCTCATCTCTGTCTCACCCATCACTTAATTATTATTCATGGTTCCTATCAGGAATTTCTGATTGTTATATTAATCTGTGTGTCACGATACTACCCCAGAAAAAAAAGTTTCCTTAAGGGCAGGGCCTCGTTTTATTTCTGTTGTTGTTGTTGTTGTTGTTGTTGTTGTTGTTGTTGTTGTTTGAGACAAGGTCTGGCTCTGTCACCCAGGGTGAAGTGCAGTGGTGCGATCTCAGCTCACTGCAACCTCTGCCTCCCGGGTTAAAGCAATTGTCCTGCCTCTGCTTCCCAAGTAGCTGAGACTACAAGCACATGCCACTACACCCAGCTAATATTTTGTATTTTTAGTAGAGACAGGGTTTTACTGTGTTATCTAGGATCATCTTGATCTCTTGATCTCATGGTCAGCCCACCTTGGCCTCCCAAAGTGCTGGATTACAGGCAGGAGCCACAGCACCTGGCCGAGGGCAGGGCCTCTTATAGCCCCCATGAGCATGGTACCTGACTCACAGAAATCATCCAACCTATCCCTATGGAATAAAGAAACAGAAAGTGCAGGAAACAAAAGTCTGGAGGGACACAGAGATAAGGGCATGATCAGGGTGAGCTATCAGTCTTAGATTGTGCCTTTGGGCTAGCATTACAGACATAGGATCCTGGTCCACCTCCACAGACTCAGCTTCCAGGTCTGCCCTAGTGCCACATCAGTCCCCATGCACTCACGCTCCAGGCCCTTCCCTGTGGACCTAGGAATGAAACCCATCACAGCACCTGGCTGACATCTGCAAACTTAAGTTCAAGGCCCACTCCAGTGCCAGATCAGCACCCATGGACACAGGCCTCAAGTCACCTCTCTGGATACAGCCTCTGACCACCCTTGAACCACACCACATGGCTTGCCCAGAATCTGTGAACAGGCTGCCTGGTGAAGGGCATTCCATGACAAAGCCAGTCTATAAAGACTGGAATAAGTCCCTGCTGCTTCAAAGCACACATTCCAACACATTGCCACAGGCTGCTGAGCCATCAGGGAACCATGACAGCACCAAAGAAACAAAATAAAGCACAGGTAACTACCCTAAACTAATAGAGGTTTACAAAAGCCTGACAAAGAATCAAAAATATGCATGTTAAAGAAGCTCAGTCAGCTACCAGAGAATACAGATAGACAACTACGTGAAGTCGGAAAAACAATTTATGAGCAAAATGAGAAGTTTCATATATACACAGACACTGTACTAAAGAACCAAGCAGAAATTCTAAAATTCAACAACAGAATATCTGAACTAAAAAATCCCACAGATAACATCAACAGCGGAGCTGACTAAGCAGGAGAAAGTATCAGGGAGCTTGAAAACAGATCATTTGAAATTACGAAGTCACACTCAGGAAGAAAAAGAAAATAAAGAATGAAAAAGAGGGAAGAAAGCCAACAGCACTGATGGTTACTGTGAAGCAAAACAATATATGCATTATGCTGCCGTGGGATGTGTTGGGTTTTGGGTCAGGGAGATAAAGAACAAACTGCTGTATCAAAAACCAATTAAACAGGGAAAGGAATTATTAATTGGGTAAAAGATGCTGTGGTATGATCGGGTTTTAAACAACTTACATTGGGCCTAAAAATAGATGTCAAGGCAGGAACTCTTATATAAATTTATGACAGTGGTGAAAGATTTAAAAAATGTAAAACATTGATGAAAAATGGAAAGTGACACAAATAAATGGACAGTACATGTTCATGGATTAGAAAACTCAATGTTGTTTAATCATCCACACACCCAAAGTGATCTATAATTCATTGCAATGCCTATTAAAATTCCAAAGACATTTTTCACCAAAATGGAGAAAATAATTCTAAAATTTGTATGGAAACAAAAAAGACCTCAAATAGCTTAAGTAGTCTTAAGCTAAACAAACAAAGAACAAAGATGAAGGCATTATACTACTTGATTTTAAAATATATTGCAAAGGTATAGTAATCAAAACTGAATGGTCATGGCATAAACAAAGATAAATAAACTGATGGAATGAAAATCGTGAACCCAGATGCAAATCAATGCATTTACAGTCTACTGATTATAACAAAGATACCAACGACACAAATGGGAAAGGACAGTCTCTTCAATATATGATGTGAGAAAAGTAGACGTTAACATACAGAAGAATGAAGTAAGACCCTTATCTCATATCATATGTAAAAATTAATTCAAAATGGACTAAAGATTAAACATAAGCTCTGAAATTGTTAAACTACTAGGAGAAGATATAGGGGAAAACCTTCATGATGTTGGTCTGGGCAATGATTTCCTGTCTATGAACCCAAAACCACAGGCAACAAAAGCTGAAATAGATGAGATTACATCAGACTAAACAGATCATGCACAACAAAGGAAACAATGAAGACAGTGAAGAAACAACTACAGGATGAGAGATCAATAGCCAAAAGATCCAAGATTTTTGTTAATATCCAAATACACAGGAACTCAAACAACTCAACAGCAGGCAATCAAATAATCCAATTAAGATGGATATATGGGCAAGGGGCCTGAATAGACCCTTCTCAAAAGGAGACATTGAAGCAGCCAACAGATACATGAAAAACATGCTCAACATCACTAATCACCAGGGAAATGGAAATCAAAACACAGTGAAATATCACTTCACACCTGTAAGAATGGCTACTATCAAAAAGACAAAAGATAACAAGTGTTGATGATGATGATGGGGAGGAAAAGGAACGCTAGTACACTGTCGGTGGGAATGTAAATTAGTACAGCCATTATGGAAAACAGGATGGAGGTTCCTGAGAAAAAGAAAAACAGAACAACTGTATGACCTAGCAACCCCACTATTGGGTGTACATCCAAAGGAAATGACATCAGTATGTTGAAGAGACATCTTCTCTCCCATGTGTACTGGAGCATTATTTACAATGGTCAAGACAAGGAATCAACCTAAGTGTCCATCGATGTTTGAAAAAATATAGAAAATGTAGTATGCAGACACAATGAAATACTATTTGGCCCTAACAAAGAAGGAAGTTCTGTCATTTGTGACAGCATGGATGAACCTGGAGGATACTATGCTAAGTGAAATAAGCCAGGCACAAAGACAAACACCTCACCATCTCACACATGTGGAATCTGAAAAAGTTGATCTCAACAAGGTAGAGAGTAGAATGGTGATTACCAGGGCTGGAGTTGGATGGTGGGTTGAAGAGATGTTGGTCAAAGGATACAAAATTTCAGTTAGACAGGGGGAGAAATTCAAGAGATGTCTGTGGGACATGGTGACTACAGTTATTAAAACAGTGTGTTGTACACTCCTTCCTTCTACTCACAGGGGATATATTCCATGGCGCAAACTCTGCACGTACTCAACTCCCTGATATAAATTGGGATGGTATTGCATATAAGCCAGGCACATATGCTTTAAACCATCTCTAGATTACTTGTAATACCTAATACAATAGATATGCTATGTAAATAAGTGCTATACTGCATAGCCTTTTATCTCCTTTTATTGATGGATTATCATTTTTATTTTCTCCTGTATATTTATGATCTACGGTTTGTTGCAACCTCAGATGCAGAACCCACAGATGAGAAGGGCAAACAGGGCTTATCCCAGGGCTCTGGATCTGTGCAGCTGAAAATTGCTAAGAGCAGATTTTAAGTGTTCTTACCACAAATACACGATAAGTATGTAAATTAGCTGGATTTAGGCATTCCACAATACATAACTTTTTCAAAACATCATAGTGTATACCATAAATATATACAACGTTTATCTGTCAAATAAAATAAACAGATTTTCAAAAATAAAAGTGTACCTGCTGGACACTCCTCCTCCTTGAGGCTGTGCCTCTGTTGCTGTGGGGCCACTGTCAGCTGGGGAACTTGATCCTGCCGGGGGCTGGGACAGTCAACTTGGCCCTGTGGGGACAAAACATAGACAGGCGTGAGTGGCTTCCAGACCTCACCTCTCCCAGGCTTCATCTCACATTCCCTTCACCCCAAGTGACAAAAGCCATCAGAGCTTACACCTTTTTTCCAGCTCCAAACCTTCATTCTTTTATATGTGTGTCTGTCCCTTGGCCTGTTAAGGTAGCTATTTTCTATAAAGAAAAACTCCTCTGTATCCTTTCCTCATATTATAACATAAAATACCTTTACCCCAGAAAATGTGAGCAAGAAGAGTTATTTCTGTTTTCCTTTTGATAGAGTCTTGCCATGTTGCCCAGGGTGGAACACAGCAGCTATTCACAGGTGTGATCATAGTCCACTACAACCTGGAACTTCTGGCCTCAAGTGATCCTCCTGCCTCAGTCTCCCAAGTAACTTGGATAACAGGCACACACCACTGTGGTTAGCAAGAAAAGATTTTATAAGAATAATAATCACAATAAACTACATGTGAGCCCCTCCAGCAGAAATACCATCTAATATATTTAGTTTGACCAAGTGTTTAATTGACCAGTGGGTGAATTCTGTCTCTGTCTCTCACACATACAAACACACACATAGACACACACATAAACATACACATTTTTACAAATGACAGTTAGAGACAATCTTAAAGAAAGTCAGGATATAGCCTCAAACATTAAGTAATTAATTTTTGCTTTACAACGGGCCTTGACAAGCTGTTCCCACTAAATATCAAAGTATCACAGAAAAAGATGAAACAGCAATTCAGGGATTCTGGCCATGATCTCTGTGTTATAAATGACAACTAGAGAAATCAGAATACAGTCTGCGTATTAGACAGTGGTAATGCATTGATGTTAATTTCCTTGTTTGTAGAAAGTACACACTAAGCAATAATAGCCTTCATCATGTCAACAGCTATTATTCAAATGGTTTTTTTGTATACTTTTTGTAACTTTTCTTTAACTTGGGAGTCTTTTAAAGTATAAAATTGATTCAATTGTAAACAGATCTAATTACATTTTCTCTAATTTTGCTCCTGAGCAAAAACAAAAAGGTTACAATAAAAGCTACTTATGTTGGGCTCAGTTCAACTGCCTGGATCTAAACAAGACAAACTATAGCGTTGGTCCACATCAAGGCAGGTCAAGTAGTTGACAGTGAAGCTAACACACGTTCCCAAATCCTTCCTTCTCGGGCTGGTCTCCCTCTAGGTTCAGCCAATGTCTGTGTCTCCTTTCTCTGCTCTCACAGTCTTACTCCCTCTCATCCAACAAAGTGGTTATTAGGTTGGGGTTTTTTTTCCCCCTTTCTGAAGACCAACTTTTCATTTTGTCAATTCTTTTTTTTATTATTTCTTTGATACCAGGCCTCCCTCTGTCATGCAGGTTGGAGTGCAGTGTGGTAATCTCTGCTCACTACAACCTCTGCCTTTTCTGCCTTCCAGGCTCAAGTGGTCCTCCCACCTCAGTCCCCCAAGTGGCTGGGATCACAGATAGCCGTGTGCCCCAATGGCTATGTAATATTTGTATATTTTGTACAGCTGGGGTTTCGCCTGTCCAGACTGGTCTAACTCCTGAGCTCAAGTGTTTTGCCTGCCCAGACCTCTCAAAGTACCAAAGTACTGGAATTAGAGAATTACAGGCATAAGCCACCACACACAGTCCATTTTTTTCAATTCTTTTTGTGGTTTGTATTCTAGTTCCTTCATTTATGTTTCCAAAATTTATGTTTGGCTTAATCTTTTTTTTTATTTTTATTTTTTTATTGAGACAGAGTCTCACTCTGTCACCAAGTGGGAGTGCAGTGGCATGATCTCAGTTCACTGCAACCTTCACCTCCCAGGTTCAACCGATTCTCCTGCCTCAGCTTCCCAAGCATGCCACCACACCCAGCTAATTTTTGTATTTTTAGTAGAGAGGGGTTTTTACCATGTTGGCCATGATCTCAATCTCTTCACCTTATGATCCGCCACCTCAGCCTCCCAAACTGATGGGATAACAGGTGTGAACCACTGCACCTGGCCTGTTTGGTTTAAATTTACACTTGTATTTTACGATTGATTAATGTACATCTTCAGGCCATAGATTCTATTTTTTTTTTCTTTTTTTTTTTGATGGTTTAATGAGATGCAATGCACATAAATATTATGATTATTCATATAATTCACCCATTTAAAGTCTACATTTCAGTAGTTTTTAATATACTCACAGCTATGCAATCATCACTAGAATCAATCTCAGAATATTTTCATCACTCCAAAAAGAAACTGCATATCCTTCAGTAGTAATCCCCATCTCCCCAACCCCCAATTCTTTCACAGGAACACTGAAAGCTGGATATTTCACCCCAGCACTGTTAGCCACTTCCACCAGTTTTCATGTTACATTGTCCTTATTATTTATTTTGAAATATTTTACCTTCCCTTTTGATTTCTCTTAACCATAGATTTTTTCTAGAAGTGTGTTATTCAATAACCAAATTTTAGAATTCTCTATGGATACTTACTGATTTTGTTTAGTGTCATTAAGCTTAGAGATCATATCGTATGTATCATGGCCCAGAACCTGGTCTATCTTGGCAAAAGTATCATAGGCAAAGAAAAAAAAAGAGTCTTCAGTGGATGTTCTACTCCTGCTCTTTACATGTCGGTTATATCAAGGTGGTTGACAGTGTTCAGATCACTTGCCAGTTAACTGGCGGTGTTCTCATCAGCTCATTCTATCAATTGCAGAGAAAGGGCTAATTTAATCTCCTTTTCATTCCATTTTTGCATCATGTGTTTTTAAGCTGTATTACCAGGCATATATAATTTGTGATTATTATTATACTCCTTGAAGAATTCACCTTTTTAACTACAAAGGTCTCTTTTGTGACACAGCCACAGCAGTTTTCCTGGCCTTACACTTTACATGATGTACTTTTTTCCATCTATTTACTTACAACGTACAGCATCTGTGTCTTCAAGTCCCCTCCCGTACAGACAACATATGGTTGAGCCTTGTTTTTTCAGCCTTTCCAACCATTTCTAACTTTGAACTGTATTGTCTAGTGGATTTACAGATAGTGCAACAATATAGTTGAGACAGACCTGTACGTTTCGTATTTAAGCCATGTCTAGTCGAATTTTTTTGCTCCTTTTCCCCTGCACATTTTAATATTAATTACCTTTTAGAATCCCATTTTAATCGTATACTGACTTTTTACGTATACATATTTCTATGGTCTATGCACAAAAGCTATAGGGAATACGGTATACACTTAAGTGCTTATATTCTATTTAAGATTTTTTTAAAAAATAGATTGAGGTATAATGGATATGAAACAAAGTAGACATTCTTGAATTAGGTAATTTGGCAGATTGAGATGTATGTATACACTGTGGAACTTTCACCGCGAGAAGATAATGACATGTCTACCGCCCTGCAGTGTTTCTTCATTATTCAGTGTAATCCTCTCTTCTGCTGGACTCTTATGTCCCCAGCAATAATTCTTCTGCTTTTTGTCCTAATAGATTAATTGCACTTTAATAAGAAGAGGAATGAAATGGTATGCATTCTGCTTGGATTTTTTTCACAACATGATTTTCTGTGTGCGTGTGTGTCTGTGTGTGTCTGTGTGTGTGTCTGTGTGTGTAAGTGTGTGCTTTTTTAGACAGGGTTCTACTATATTTCCGAGGATGGTCTTGAAATCCTGGCCTCAATGGATCCACACCCACCTTGACAGGAGTACAGGTGTGATCCATCGCACCCTACCCACTCTGGCCCATTGACTATTATGCATTAAAGGCTGTTGAAAAACAGCACGTGCAAGAAGATCCTTCTGACCCCTTTCCTGTTTCCTAAAAGCAGGAGATGAAAGCCCCCAGGGAAACAGAGAACAGCCTCCTTTTAAGGATGAGAATCAAGGCTAAGAGAGTCCTGTGCAGACCTCGTTAGAATAGAACCACTCTTACCTTTTTAGCCTCCCACATAGTTACTTGCTTCTTCACAAGTTACTTGGTAACTGACTGTCACTGCTTTTTCTGTGCCAGGTAAAACTTGCATTAAATAAATCTGTGTGTTGGTTGGGCATGGTGGCTAATGCATGTAATTGCAGCATTTTGGGAGGCTAAGCCGGGCATATCACCCAAGCTAAGGAGTTCGAGACCAGCCTGGCCAACATCGTGAAACCCCATCTCCACTAAAAAAACTAATATTAGCCAGGCGTGTGGCAGGCACCTGTAATCCCACCTACTCGGGAGGCTGAAGCAGGAGAATCACTTGAACCTGGGAGGTGGAGTTTGCAGTGAGCCATGATTGCCCCACTGCTCTCCAGCCTGGGCAACAGACCAAGACTCCATCTCAAAAAACAAAAAAACTATGTGCTTTTCTCCTGTGCACCTGTCTTATGTCAATTTAATCCTCAGACTCAGCCAAAAACAGCCTTTAAAGAGGAGGCTGGCTTCCCTCTGGGACCCTTAATGGTGACTATAACCAAACAACATCCTCAGGCGAACAATACAACAATACCACATCCTGTGGCCTCGCACCAGGGCCACCTCCCTCCAGCATGGCTTCTCTGGAGGAGGGGAGGCAAGGGTGCTGAGACCTCAGGCCTCCATCATGCTACTTCCTATTAGTGATATGATTCCTGCTGCCACCTCTCCCACCACACTGTGGGCTTCAGGGAACAGGATTCACATGGGACTCGTTTGTCCTCCCTGGCTCCAGCAGACTCCAGGCACAGGTGTTCTCAGAGTCAAGGGCTCACTGTCTACTTCCTGTGTGAATCGCTTTCCCCCCTAAGCCCATAAAGTGAGCTCAGTGGTGGCCTCAGCTCACTGCCTGAGGACAGGCTCCAGGCTGCGGCACAGGGAGGGGACCCCAGAGAGCCTGTGGACTCTGCTGAGGAACCGCAGGAGCTCCCAGAGGGCCAAGTGCAGGGCGGAGATCTGCACCGAGAAGCAGCTGCTCAGAGAACTCTAGCCCTGCAGAGGCACAAATATGTTGCTATTATACAGGAGGTGAGGCCCAAAATGCTAGAGACATTGCTCCTGAATCTCATTTTTGCCACTTGTAAAACAGAGAAAACCACCTGCCCTCCTCTCCCCGTGTCGCTGGGAAAATCCACCACATGAAGATGTGCAGTCTCTAGCTGGGAGCAGGACACCAGCTGCCCACAGCTCCAACCTGGAAGCTAGGGCTTCGCTGTCCTGCCACTCCTGGATACAGACAGAGAGGATCAGGACTGGGACTGTGGTCTCTCTGTAAAGGCTGGGTGAGCAGCCATCTGGGGCCATGTGGATGGAGATTTTTCCTGCTCAGTCTTCAAACTGCAACCCAGGAGGAGAACTGGAAGCGTGGCAGGTGAACCAGGCTGTGGCCCTGCAGTGCCATCGCTGTCCTCACTTGAAATCTGGCTCCTCTGTTCCTCCATGGCCCCTCCCCATGGCGCTCCACCCCAGTCTTCAGAGGCTTCTGCCCCAAGCTCAGGGAGCCCGTACCGAGGTGCAGGTAGGAGCAGGTGCAGCCTCTGCTGGTGGAGGACACGTGCCCTGAGGATCCAGTCCAGAGTGACTGACACTAGCCCTGAGGATACAATTTGTCCTTCAACACCTGCAAACACAGCCCTCTGAGGTTTACACAGGGCTGCTGAAGATATGTTATCTCCTCTTCATTTTACAAGCAGGAGCCGGGGCCACACCAGAGTCACAGAGCTGGAGGGAAGCACGGCAGGGCCCGGCTGTCCCAGCCTCCCATCCCAGGAGTCCTTGACAGCCTAAGAGTCCAGGATTCCAGATTCCTACTTAGAGAGAGAGGAATGACCCCTCTCTCTCTAAGAGATGTGGAAGGACCTGACCCAGAGACTGACAGAGCCAGAACCGGGGTCAGGAACTGAGCTCAGCTCCAGGTTCATCTGATGTCATCCTGACAGCCTGAGGCCACAGACCTTATCTCCATTCACAGGCACGGCAGGTGACAGGGACTGGCCCCAGCTGACCATGGTTTCCCAAATGCACAGCTGGGAATTCAGTCTCCCTGCTGCCCTCCCCTGCTGTCTCATCTGGGGTCTCCAGGTCATGCACTGCCAGTATCAAAAAACTCCTGCATCCTTGAAAATCCCTAATACCATGAAGGAATGAAAATGCATAACAATGTGATGCATCATGTTTTACTCCTTAGACTAGTAAAGAATGAAAGCTAAGGGTAGCCAGGGTGTAGGGACACAGGCATGTTTGTAGACCAGGTGTGGGTGTAAGCTGGCTTTAATGGTCTTTTGGAGGAAAATTTGTGAACATCTACAGAAACTTCTGAAGTCATTTATCCCACAGAAGTAGAAGTAAAATTCTACTTCTAAAGAGTTGCCCAATAAGCTGGTGCACATGGACACATGATAAATACAAGGTTATTTAGAACAATGCTGTTGGAATCAGCAAAGGCAAAGTCAGGATGGGATCTCACCAGCTGCCCCTAGGTGGCAACAGTGAATTAAACTGTGACTCACCCAAGCAGTAAAATACAACACCTTGTTAAAAAGAAGATGAATCTGTAAATACTGCCACAGAACGTCTAATGTGATTTGTGTTCGCTCCAAATTTTTAAAAGCAATTGTGCATTGAAATGCATTTAATAAGGCAAGACTGATGGAGGGATTAAAGCCTCCTTTGGGACATAGAGAGCTCATATTCCCCAAACTGTGAAATTCAGGCTGCTGACCTGTGTACACAGGTCACCCACACATTCTCTCTTCAGGACCACTGTCCTGACACAGCCATTCCTCCAGCTGCCTTCAAGGAAGGTCCACCCACTATAAACTATTTTAGAAGTTAGTTGTGTAATTTTTGACAGGTGAAAATGATACTGCATTTCAGAATTTAGCATTAATTTATTCAAACATGCAAATAGCCCCACTCCTCCCCCTGCCTTTTTTTTTTTTCCCCTGTAAGGAACCTTAGAAAGGGCTGTTGGCAAAAATCTCAATCACTCTGGAAAAGTTTTGGAAGTCTGCACATTTTATTTATTTATTTATTTTGAGACAGTTTCAGTCTGTTGCCCAGGCTAGAGTGGAAATGGCACAATCTTGGCTCACTGCAACCTCCACCTCCTGGGTTCAAGTAATTCTCCTGCCTCAGCCTCCCATGTAGCTGGGATTACAGGCGTATGCCACCACAACTGGCTAATTTTTTGTATTTTTGGTAGAGACAAGGTTTCACCCTGTTGGCCAGGTCGGTGTGGATCTCCTGACCTCAGGTGATCCACCTGCCTCAGCCTCCCAAAACGCTGGGATTACAGGCGTGAGCCACTGCGCCTGCCCTATTTATGTATTTAACTTTTATTTATTTATTTATTTATTTATTTATTTATTTATTTAGAGACACAGTCTCGAAGTCGCCCAGGCTGGAGTGTAAATGGCGTCATCTCAGCTCACAGCAAACTCTGCCTACCAGTTTCAAGGGATTCCCTTGCCTTAGCCTCCCGAGTATCTTAGATTACAGGCACCTGCCACCATGCCCGGCCAATTTTTGTATTTTTTAGTAGAGACGGGGTTTCACCATCTTGGGCAGGCTGGTCTTTAACTCCTGACCTCGTGATCCACCTGCCTCGGCTTCCCAAAGTGCTGGAAATGCAGGCGTGAGCCACTGCGCCCGGCCCATTTTATTTATAATATGTCCTTATTGTGCACACCACTGCTAATCTCAGTTTCCAAAGTCAACTCACAAGGAGAACTTTACGCCGTTTATACTGAAGGAAGGGTCAGCCCCAGGTCCTACCTGTAAGTGGCAGAGGGGACACACGGGTGAGAATGGAAGACCCTGACTGCAAGGTTAAGAGCTTCCTACCCTTCCTGACATTTTCAGGTCAGAGGAAATGAAAGTTGAAAAAGGAAAAAACAAACAAACAAACAAACAAACAAACAGCGTTGGAAAGCCTTTTCTTTTTCTTTTTTTTTTAAATTAATTTACTTTTTTTTACTCAGGAGGCTGAGGCAGGAGAATTGCCTGAACCCAGGAGGCGGAGGTTGCGGCGAGCTGAGATCGTGCCATTGCACTCCAGCCTGGGTAACAAGAGCGAAACTCCATCTCAAAAAAAAAAAAAAAATTAATTAATTTACTTTTTTTAAAGATGGGGTTTCACCATGATGACCAGGCTGGTCTTGAGCTCCTGACCTCAAATGATCCACCCACCCCGGCCTCCCAAAGTGCTAGGATTACAGGCGTGAGCCACCGCGCCCGGCCTGGAAAGCTTTTTTAATGGGTGTCAAATCAATCTCCGAGTGTGTTTAACAATGTAAACATAGGGTTACTGTTAACTAAGTAACCAAAGAGGCAACCGCTTTGTGGCTTCCAGAGGTTCATTCATAAGTTTCCATACTGACTCCCTCCTTCCACTGATTCTGGAACTCGATTCTCACCGCACCTGAGAACCGGGGTGACCCCGCGCTCTGCTCCTCCATCGCGGCAGGGTCCCTCGAGCCCAGCCCCGAGACCGAGTTCTGCCCCCGACTCCAACAGGTGTTCGTCCTGCCCGGGCACGCCCAGCTGCAGGCGACCAGGGTCAGGATCTTCGCTTCGTCCCCCTCCCGCTCTTCCCCGGCCCCGTCCCGGCCCGCTCACCGGCAGCAGAACTGCGACGACGAAGACTAACTGAAGGGTCCTGGGGTCCCGCAGCCACAGCCTGGCTCCAGACGCCGTCCTGGGTCCTGGGACGCACCCTGCTGGAGCCGTCGAGGCAGCCGGGACGCTCTGTCCACGAAGTTCCATGAGAAGGAGGAGGGTGGAGGCTCTTCGCCCCCGAACTTTGGGTCAAAAGCCCCAAAATCAATCACAAATTGTCCGGAAATCCTCCCCGCAGCTCGTGCCCGCGGAGAACGTCCCACGCTTGCTCTGCGCGATGGGAGTGGCGCGCACCGTTACACCCCTGGGGCGTGGTCACTTGTAGTCACTCCCCGCAGTCCCGGGACAGCTGATTGTGGCCGCTGCGGTAACCCAGAGATTGCGGTTTGATTCTGGATCCTTCCCAGGCTGGACAGCACAAGGGGAAGGAGGGGAGGCGCCTCCCACTGAGCTGCTGTAATCGGGGTAGTGAGGGTCAGAGGCTGCACTGGAGGCCTGTCCTGAGCCTGCTCCCTCCCCGGGACGCCTGCCTCTCCTCTTCCTAAAACCTGATCTCCCTCCCGGCCTAAACACTTCGGTCCACTCAGCTGCTGATCCCACTCCCTCCTCCCACAGCCGCCTCGCTACCGCTGCACTCATGCCACTGCCTTCAGCCCCCTTGCTGCTCCCACCCAGCTCCAAGCTTCTCTGACAAGGGCTTGGCACCCCTCAGTAGGGGTGGGGTTACTGCTCCAGGCTCCCCCTGCTTCTCACTTGCCCTGCCCATGAGCTCCTGAGCCTCACTTGAAGCCCTGGGCTGTGAGCTGTGGCTTGAATCCTCCACAATCCTCCAGTCTCACCTTTCCTCTTCTTACACTTGACCTTGCTTTTCCTCTTGCTCTATTCTCCCATTTTCCTCTCTTTTCCTCCAAGCCAGCACTAGGTAGGGCTCTCTCTGTGTGACCTTTCATTATAGGTGACTCCAAATGTCAGGAGAAAGGGACTCTGTGCCCTTTCTCCTGACATTTGGACCCTGCCCAAAGCCCCCCTCCCCCAGAAAACATACAGGCAATAAACATCCTGTGAGTCACCTCCAAAGATGAAGAGGATGGCCTGTGTGCTCAAGATGGCAAAGGTGAGAGTCCAGTGTCGGGCTCCACCCAAATACCAGCCCCTCTCCCCAAATCCTCAATCACCAGTGTGCAGAGGGCAAAGAATTTCTGAATATTTGACAATACATCTTTGGCCACATTTCTGATCACATGCATTAGTCAACTTCCTAGAAGAAGTAGAATATCAGGGTTCACCCATAGAGGTGCAAACACACACACACACGCACACACGGACACGCACACACAGAGCTGTGATTCCTACTGAGAATGTGTCACTTTAGATCTGACGTCATTGCTCTTTTGTTTTCCTCTTTTCTAACTAGGAAAGAATTAATTGACTTGGATATGCATTTCTCTGACTTGTGTTTCATATACTGATCAGTAGTTTAGACTCCTTTAAATTCATTTTTTGGAATTTGTGTTGTCTAGAAAGACAGCCTTCACGCTTCCGAAATACTGAGAACAGATTTCTGGATTTTTTTATTTGCCTATTCTTTTTGTCTTAGATTTTAATGTACAGAAATTTTAAATTTTAAGTAGTTAAATCTATAGGTCCACTTTTGTTTCTTGGTTGTAAGCTTAGAATGTCCATTGCTCAACATAAAATAAGATGATCTCTCTAATTTCTTAAGGAGGTTTTACTAAATCATTAGATCTGTAGCATATAGTGATGTAAAGTCCATGGACATTACTTCTGATGTAGAAAGTGTGACATTGTTCTTAATTTTTCGGCGTTACTCTCATCTGTCCAACCCCAGTAAGTGACTGATTAGGCCCTTCCTCTCAACCTTGTGGTTTATGGTGTTTATGGAAGTTTCACTTGTAGGCAGGGAAGTGTTAGTCAGTCATTTCCGGTGCTGAAGTCTCGGGCCTTCTCCGGGCTCTGAGCTGATGGGTGTGGTAGAGCTGATCACGTGGTTGCTTCCAGTGGCAGCCGGTCCCTCTCCTCCAAGAGCCACCTAGTGAGCATCAACTCAGGAATGCTGGAAGTCGTTTCATGATTAAAAAAATAAAACCCCTCTCACCACAATTGTTCAGGAAACATCAATGTTTTGAAGCTTTGTCCCCAAAACCAGGAGCAGAGAAAAAAAAATAGATGTTTCTTATTATGTCCCAGCCATGAATACCTGGAAGGAGGATCACTGGGGCCATTTCAGAAGCAGCTTACCACAGGCCCCACGTGGGCGCAGGGGAGAGAGGCCTTTGCCTGGAGGAGAAAGAGTGGACGGGGAGTGTGACTGACAGTAAATGTTTGCCGATGTGAGTTGCTAGACCCTCTCTCTTCTGGTGGTCCCCGAATCAGAGCCTTTGCACTACATGTTGGAGTCTGGATGGCCTGTTTGAGGAACCTGTCTCTCTACAATCATTAGATTTCTGCATGAAGATTTAGCATAAACTCCCTGTATAGGATAAAACCATTTTTTTTTCTTTTTTTCTTTTTTTGAGACAAGGACTCACTCTGTTGCCCAAGCTGGAGCACAGTGGTGTGACCTCAACTCACTGCAACCTCTGCCTCCCGGGTTCAAGTGATTCTTCCCCCTTAGCCTCCCAAGTAGCTGAGATTACAAGTACCTGATATCATGCCGAGCTAACTTTTGTATTTTTGTAGAGATGGGGTTTTGCCATGCTGGCCAGGCTGGTTTTGAACTTCTTACCTCAGGTGATTCACCCACCTTGGCCTCCCAAAGTGCTGGGATTACAGGCATGAGCCACCACACCCAGATGGCTCCTGCTTTTCTACAAAAATTCTTATCATTGTCAATTGTCCTCCTGTTCTGTTCTAAGAACCAGAGTAGGAGAACAATTTTGCTAAACGGCTTTCAGCCCCCATTGAGACGATATGATGCTTGCTTATTGATACTATCAACATGGTACATCATTTTTTAACACATTCACATTATTGGAAGAAGCTTCTACATTAGATTTTCCAAAGTACCCTCATCTATATGAACGTCATTAGTCTTCTAAAAGCCAGGGAGGAGGTAGCTGTGTCTTGTTGTAGTGGTGGAAACTGCCTAAAATTAGCAGAAAGAGATTTTGTGGGAATGGAGAATATTCTCTGTCTTGATTGCATAATGGTTACATGTGAGTATATAGCCGTCACAGAGGAAGTGAAATACTTGAGAAGCGAACAGCTGAGGCTGTGCAGTGGCTCACACCTATAATGCCAGCACTTTGGGATGCTGAGGTGTGCAAATCATTTGAGTCCAGGAGTTCCAGACACGACTGGGCAACATGATGAAACCCCATCCTACTAAAAATACAAACATTAGGCTGGGCACGGTGGCTCATGGCTGTAATCCCAGCACTTTGGGAGGCCGAGGCAGGCAGATCATGAGGTCAGAAGATCTAGACCATCCTGGTTAACAGGGTTAAACCTTGTCTCTACTAAAAATATAAAAAATTACCCAGCCATAGTCTGAGCTACTCGGGAGGCTGAGACAGAAAATCGCATGAACCCAGGAGGTGGAGGTTGCAGTGAGCGAAGATTGTGCCACTGCACTCCAGCCTGGGTGATAGAGCAAGACTCTATCTCAAAAATAATTAATAAAAATAAATAAAATAGGGTCGGGTGCGGTGGCTCACGCCTGTAATCCTAGCACTTAGAGAGGCTGAGGCGGGTAGATCACGAGGTCAAGAGATCGAGACCATCCTGGTCAACATGGTGAAACCCCGTCTTTACTAAAAATACAAAAAATTAGCTGGGCATGGTGTCATGTGCCTGTAATCCCAGCTACTCAGGAGACTGGGGCAGGAGAATTGCCTGATTCCAGGAGGCGGAGGTTGCGGTGAGCCAAGATCTCACCATTGCACTCCAGCCTGGGTAACAAGAGCGAAACTCTGTCTGTCTCCAAAAAAATAAATAAAATAAAATAAAATAAAATAAATACAAGAATTAGCCGGGCGTGATGGTGTGCACCTTGTCCCAGCTACTCAAGGGGCTGAGGTGGGAGGATTGCTTAAGCCCAGGAGACTGAAGTTGCAGTGAGCTGAGATTGCACCACTGCATTCCAGCCAGCATGACAGAGTCAGCCCTGTTTTTTTGGTTTTGTTTTGTTTTTGTTTTTTTTTTTTTTTTTAAATGCACAGTTTACTGCATTAACTTACATCTCAGTGAGCGAACAGGGACAGAAAATCTGTGAGCTCTACAGGATGGGAGGTTTATTATCATTTCCATGAAGACCAAAGAGAAGACTTGGCATGCAACAGTTCTGATAGCTGGCTGCTTCTCAGGGTCACTACTGGAATCCACGACTCCTAACTCTGATCAAGGGTTCTCCATTGTCTTTTACAGTCACCTAAAAGCTGAAGGTTCTCAGGTGAAAAGGATGAATGAAAATCAATGAATGTCGCTTGTTTCTTTATATGTTCTTTAAATGAGACTGTACAAAACATAACCTCGTATTCTCGGCCCTCTCTCTCTAAGGAGAGTGGTGTGTAGTGTGATGCACACACATTTTATTGAATCACTTGTGAAGGAAAAATAAATCTTGGGACTATAAAATCACAAAGCCAAAGGGAAAAGTCAAGCTGCGAACTGTGTCAGGCAAACCTGCCTCCCATTTTATTCCTAAATAACAGCTACAAAGTATAAAAAGCCACATACCGCCCTCACAATTCCCCCATGAGACAATTCTTTGTGGGCCTCAAGATCCTTAGCCTAAAGCAGTTCTGCCGAATTTCACCCTGGCAATGTACATTGATAGCTGATCTTCACAGGTGCGGGACAGAAAGTCATCCCTCTGCCCACCTGAGACAAATGCTTATCTGACTGCCTTGCCACGCTGTTGTTAATGAAAAACGAAGATTCACTGAGCCAGACTAAGGCATGAGTGACTATTCCTCTACCTCTACCCTTTGACGTACAAGTTGTGTATTCAGTGAAAGGCTGATCAAAGACCCAGAAGCACGCAAACTTGTGTCTCTTATCTCCCTATGACCTGGAAGCCTCCACTTCCAGTTGTCCCTCGCTTCTGGACAGAACCAATGTATCTTACACCTACTGATTAATGTCTCATCTCTCCCTAAATAGATAAAACAAAGCTGACCCCAACTATTTTGGGCACATGTCCGGAGGATCTCCTGAGGCTGTGTCACGGGCATGTCCTTAACCTTGGGAAAATAAACTTTTAAAACATTTTTACGGGCTAGGCACAGG